AAGCTCAAGCTATACTGAAGGCACTGGGGGGGAAAATGCTTTCAAGAGTTGAAGGAGTACCAATTGAAGTGTTTTAGCAAATCTACCACAATGGGAGTTTTCACTTGTCTTTGCCAAGAAATTTGGAAAACAGTTACCTCGTTAAATGACTGCAAGAGATCCATATTCAGTCCCATTCCAATGAAAGGTGATCCAACAGGATGCAAAAATGATCTAATAACATCACTGATATCACCAGCAAGTAAAAGTTTCCTGAAGATAATTTAAAAATGGTTGCAGCAGTACATCAAAAGAAAACTACCTGACGTTCAAGCTGGATTCGGAAGAGGACAGAGTATTTTTCCATTGCTGAAATCAGATGGATCTTGGCTGAAAGCAGCAAATACCAAAAAGGTGCATCGCTGTGTTTTACTGACCATGCAAAGAAATTCAAATGTAAAGATGGTAACAAACTACAGATAGCGCTGGGAAGAATAGGAATTCAAGAACACAATTGTGCTCATGCAGAAGTTGGACATAGAACAAGAGACTTTTTTAACAGAACAAAAGGATACTGAGTTGTTTAAATAAGAAAAAATGTGTGTCAGGGATGTACTCTTTCACCGTAGTTATTCAATCTGAGCATGCTGAGCAAATAATCCTATAAAATGGACAACACGAAGAACAATTCAGGATTAGAGGAAGACTCATTTACAACCGGCAATATAGATGACACAACCTCACATGCTGAAAGCAAGGACAACTGGAAGCACTCACTGATGAAAATTAAAGACTTCAGAGTGAGTTACACCTCAGCATAAAGAGAACAAAGCCCTCACAATGGAGCCAATAAACCACATCACGATAAATGGATAAAAGAACTGAAGTTATCAAGGATTTCATTGTGCTTGGATCCAGCCATTAAATCAGACATGGGCAAGTCTACTGCACATGTCCTCTTTAAGTGTTAAAAGACAAGATTGTAGACTAAGCAAATTTCAAATGCTTCACAGGCTTGCAAGAGACAGAGCGCGAGTAAAGAAGACTGAAAAGTAATGGATGCATTGAATTATGATATTGGGGAAGAATATTAACTATGCCATGGAATGCCAGAATAATAAACAAATCCATGTCATAAGAACCCACATGGAAGAAGCACACCAGCCTGTGCAATCACGAGGTGTCGAAGGGATGAGGAATCAGGCATCATCAGAACAAAAATCGTATCATTGTGAATGAGGGGAAGTGCAGAGTGGAGACCCAAAGCCCATCTGTAGGCAATTGGACATCCCCTTACGGCAGGATCGCAGGGAGGAGACAAGCCAGTCAGGGTGCAGTGTAGCAAAAATGAAGCATACAACTTTCCTCTAGTTCCTAAATGCTTCCCATCCACCCCCACCCGCCACTATCATGATCCCAATTCTACCCTATAAATCTGGCTAGACCAGAGGATGGACGCTGGTACAGATAGCAACTGGAAACACAGGAAATCAGGACAGATGATCCCTTCAGGACCAGTAGTGTGAGTAGCGATACCGGGAGGGTGGAGGAAGGGTGGGTTGGAAAGGGGGAACCGATTACAAGAATCCACATATAACCTCCTCCCTGGGGGACGGACAACAGAAAAGTGCGTGAGGGGAGACGTCGGACACTGAAAGATATGACAAAATAATAATTTATACATTATCAAGGGTTCACGAGGGAGGGGGCGTGAGGAGGGAGGGGAAAAAATGAGGAGCTGATGCCAGGGGCTTAAGTGGAGAGCAAATGTTTTGAAAATGATGGCAACAGATGTACAAATGTTCTTGACACATGGATGCATGTATGGATTTTGATAAGAGTTATATGAGCCCCCAATAAAATGATTAAACAAATAAAATAACTTGTAAAAAAATAAAGAAACAACAACATAAAGTTAGCAATTCTTGAACACATAATATGTGTCAAGTCATTGCAATTAACACTTGGTATGCATTTACCAATGACCAAAAAAATGGAGAAAAAGAAGACATGAAAAATATGAGAAAACTACCATATAACTAACGGAAATCCAAGGGGTAAAAAACGAAGTATAGAAAATATTAAAGAGTGAATAACAGCCTGGCTCCATCTTGCATCAGCAATGATATCCCTCATTCCACGACGTCTTCTGACCAGTCCTGAATTTCTAGCAGTTCGATGTATTACTGCAACCATTTCTTAGTTATCTTCAGTAATATTTTATTTGAATATTATGATTCAAATATTATATAATTTCCACATTCTGTTGGGTCACCTTTGGAAGGAGAATGAATATGGATCTCCTCTAGGCACTTGGCCAGATAACGCCAATTCCAACGCTGTGTCTATTGTTGGACGCCAATTCCAACACTGTGTCTATTGTTGGACGCCAATTCCAACGCTGTGTCTATTGTTGGACGCCAATTCCAACGCTGTGTCTATTGTTGGACATCTCAATTCACAGTCGCACAATTTCTGGAACCCTGCCCTCACCACCACTACCCACCCCCACCCAACCCCATGCCTCTGGGTCTTCTTGCTTCAATACCATCAGTTCTTGAAAATATACTACTTCTCGAAATGGTTGAAAGTCAACCAATTATTTTTGGTCCAGCGACTTTGTATATTCCTTCTATCTCCTTTTGATGCTTCTTGTATCACTTGATTTTTCAGCTATTGAATTTTTCGATATTGCAACTCAATGCTTTTTTCCCCCTTCGGTTCTTTCCGCTTGAGTAACGCTGTGTTTCTCCTTCGAACTCCAGGTCGTGGCATATTTTCTTACAATGCTTGCTCTGTTTTCTCAAGCCATCCTTTGCAAGCTTCTGGTCAGCTCCTCTGTTTCATCATTCTTCCCGTTTGCTTTAGCTACTCTGTGTCCAAGAACGAGTTTCAAAGTCTCTTCTGACACCAATTTTGGTCATTTCTTTTCTGTTCTCCCCCCACCCCCCAGCCATCCCCCTGATCTTTTGCTTTATTCATATTGAGTATCCTTGACTGTACAGTAAAAGGTTTAGTTTGGGTTAAACACAGGGACACCAAAATCTTGAAACTATAGAAAAATTAGAGCAAGAAAATACTAACCACAAGAAAGATGTACAGTAAATCAAAGTATAAGTATAGTAAACAAGACAGCAAACCCCCAAATCTGTTGTTGTCAAATTGATTTGGACTCATAGAAACCCTAAAAGACAAAGCAGAAGTAACTCACACTGTTTCTAAAGTAGCAAACAAATCCTTTGGAAATCACACTGCTCTATGTTTCTCCATAGAGGGGCTACTGGGTTTGAACTACTGACGTTTTAGTACTTAACTACTGTGTCTTCAGTGTCCCCCTATAGCTATGTAAATGCCAAGTAAAATTACCTTTAAGGCAAAAAGCATTAGTTGGGATAAATTAATACTTCACTTCAGGTGGTAGAATAATTTGGGACAAGATAACAGGAATGGTTACACAACTTGAAGAATGTAATGAATGTCACTGAATTGTACATGTAAAAATTATTGGGTTGTTTTGTGTTTTGTTGGATGTATTTTCAGCACAGTTTTTAAAATACCTAAATAATAAAAAAGAAAACAAACAACTGGAAAAATAAAAACACTTGTAGAAACTTAATAATAGCTTCTATTTATATAAAGTAATAACTCAGAGAATTTCAAGGAGTAAATTATAACTTGCAAGTTACAGTGGAAGCTTGTCAGATTGAACTGAAAAACATAATTGCAAGGATATAGAAGACTGAACTTCACAATTAACAAGCACGTTCTACTGAACAAATTTGTGCTCCAACACTCAATAATGAGAGACTATAGTTATAACGGAAGCATAGAACATTGGGGCCACAAACAAATCTTCGCAAACTACAAAAAGTTCATACACAAACTTGATACCATTCTCTGACCACAAAAACAGCTCAGCCAAACTCCCTGCCATCGAGTCGATGCCAACTCACAGAGGCCCCCAAAGGGCGGGGGAAAGCTGCCCTGTGGGTTTCCAAGACTGCAACTGTCCACCGGAGTAGAAAGCCCAGTCTTTCTCCTGAGGAGCAATTGGTGGTTTCGAGCCGCTGACCTCGCTGATCGCAGCCCAACGTGTTAACAATGCAGCAGCAAAATGTTAAAACTATCATTTGGTGCTTTTAAAACAACTTCTAAATTTGAATTAAAAAGTGCCCTCACGGTGCAGTGGTTCCTCAACGGGCTGCGATCTGCGCAGTCGGCAGTTTGAAAGACTGGGCTTTCCCCTCCTGTGAACAGTTCCTGCTAGAAATCCGCAGGGGCTCGCGGTGAGTCAGCATCGACTCAATGGCATCGAGTTGGTTTTGGGTTTAGAAACACCAAAATTGTGGGATGTAGCTAAAAGTGTCGGAAGATTTAAACCCTAAAATACACAAAATAGAACAGAACAAAACCCACCGGAAAACCAATCAACTAATTATCTATTTGTTGTTGTCACATGTCAGTAAGTGGGTCCCGACTCACAGTGACCCGATGCACGACAGGAGGGAACCCTGCCTGGCCCTGCCTGGCCCTCTAAGGTGCTCTAAAAACAACAGGAGATAAAATAAAAGAAAGCAGAATTCTAGTTGAAGAAAAAACAATACAATTGTCTGGCTAATGTATTAAGAAAAACAGAAATGGCACAAATCAAACAATCTTAGTTTAAACTGAGGTAAATCTATAGGGTGCAGATGCAGTCTTTTGTGGGACTGGAACCCAAGTTCTGCCATTTGTGAGCCTTGTGACCCTCTGGGTATGAGTTTGCTCCTACGTAAAGAAAGCACAGATCGTGTCTGCTCAAGGTCTAGTCACAGTGGGCTCTCAGCAAAGGTGGATTTGCCCTCCCCCCTCCGTTTGCTTTCTTAGCGGTGCTGTGGTATAGAGTTGCGATGAGTCAGCAGTGACTGATGGCACTGAGGTGATGTAGACAGGTGGGTACGCAACTAAAGATGTGAAATGTGTGGATTATTTTCTGCATAGACTCACGAATCAGCAAGAATTGTTTTGAAATGCATTCTTACCTGCCAAAACACATTCTTAAGTATAAAAAAGTCCACGTCCAAAGCAGCCACAAATATTATTATAGGATAAAAATAGCAGTAAAGTGCATAACTTGATGTGTTTAGAACAGGGAAGATGAGTTTGTGTACCTAAAGTAACAAAAGAAAAAAATTAGTCTGCTGCCATATTCAAGTATTAAAACTTAGGATGATGTATGCTTATGCAAATCAACACAAATTTTAGAACATTCCAACCTGAAACTAATGAGAATTTCTACAAGGGTCTTCCTGGTGATCTTGGAGCAAATCTCCCTATCTAACCTTGAGACGGGCTAACCTCAGCGTGCCCCTCTGCTGTTCAGAAAACTGTGCGAGTTTGGCTACGCAAGCATTGCTTAGAGGAAATCATCAGTGCTTTCCAAAGTGCTTTTCTTCCATTGGTGATATCCAAGACTATCTTAGTGGTTCACAAAAAAGTTTGGTTATTTAATATTAGACTGTTATGGATCTATTTTCATGTGCATTGTGGGGGGACTGCAAGTACCATGCACCTATGATAATAATTTCCCAAACATCATTGCTTCCCTCCACCCGCCAACACACTAAATCCATTGCTGCCAAGTTGTGGGATAAACTTAAGCATGTAAAGAATAATATAGATATAAGAAAACCTGTACTTGTTTTTTATTAAATCTTGAATTCTAAAGCACAGCAATGTAATTCATAACAATTTTCTTTCACTCTTTCATTTTTTTAAAAAGTGCCAATGCTTGTACTTATCTAGGATTACATATTATTATATTTTACATACTGTATATCAGAGTATTATATACTCTCTATTCTGCTCGCTGGGCTTTCTAAAGCGATACATCTGGATGGAAGCAGCTGCTGGGTTCAGATGGGCTACCTTTTGGTTGACAAACACTTCACCCGCTGCACCACCTGAGATGTAAAAATCTTTTCATGGTCATGTAGAGAAAATGAATCCATAGCTATTAGTCCGCACTACTTCTATAGAACACAAGCCATCCAGGATACACACAGAGAATGAAAACACAACAGTAGAAACTCTCTGAATAGTCCTTCCTAAGTAGTTTCCTTATGTTTAACTGATCGTTTAAGCTTCTTTACTTCATGGTGCCTTAATTTCCTCGTCTGTAAAATGGAATGAATTAACTGAAAGGTTAATAATTAATAAGTATGAAGCACTCAAAAAGGAATATATTTAAAATTTAAAACTGTTGGTTAGAATAAATGATAACACTTCAGGAAAAAATATATATATAATCATAGGTCAGGGTCAACCAACTGTGGTTCTCACAGCATTTGGGGCTCTTTGATAGGTATGTGTGGCTCTGAAGTAAAATCGAAAATGAAAATGAAGCTGTTATGGTTTCATTTAAAGGATATTATTCAGATAATGGTGATTTCATTTGTTTGTAAAATTATATTTATGGCTCCTAAATAAGTTTTAAATTGTGTGAGGGACAGGATTGGCTCTTCTGTCTCAAAAATGTGTCAGCTCCTGTCATAGGTAAGTCAAAGCACTTTCTTTTTTTAATGAAGAAAAAAGAGTGGAGGAAATTGTTGTAGATTACATTGCTGTGCGTTTGAAATCAAGAGTTAATAATAAGTACAACTTTTCTTGTATCTATCGTATACGTTTTGTGACGAGTCTGTACACTTTGTCTGGCAGTAAGAAAAGACACGATTCCTCATGAAAATGACTGCTGCCCTGGATAACAAAAGTCTGCACAGGTGTCAGGGGAACGGGAGGGAAGGGATCAGTAGTTGAGTTTGTGTTAGGGGTCGGGGAGGGGTGAGGGGTGAAAAGAAAGAACAAATACTCAAAGGCAGATGAAGAAGAACTCAAGAATGAAATCAAATTTACCTCACTTCCAAATTAGTGTTCTACCTTAGGCATTCCTCAATTATATTTCTCTTTCATTAGGTGGTTTTTCTATATATTACATAGCAAATGATATTTTTAAATAAATATTCACATTTTAAAAACCACATGCACTCAGAAGTGTGAGTATGAATGGGTCTACTTTGAGTCTTTGTCCTTTAATTTATTCTCTAAATTGTTGTATATACAGTACCATTGGAAACTGTTGGGCCATTTGTCCTACTATAAATCCAGATACAGAAAGAATTAACAAGTCAAGGACTCTGGAATTCTTTATGCTCGCCTTCAAAATTCCTAAGGAAATACATATTTTTTATTTAGACATAATTTATATTGTTCAAACATTTAATTAACATCTTCTTTTTCAATTTAATTTTAAACACTGGGTGTAGTGTTATTACAGATGAATAATTGAGGACTGTTAGGAAGACCATCTCTTAACTATAAGACTTTTTCTTAAATTTTCCATTGTGAATTGTGCGAAGATTTACAGAGCAGATCATCAATTTTACATTAAACAGTTTATATACATTTAGTTTCATCTCATTCACTGCAATCCCCTTAATGTAACATCATTTATCTTCTGTCCTCCCTGTGTTTCCTAGGCCCATCCCTCTTTCTTTCCTAACCCTTATGAACTTTGTCCTTGGGTAAAAGCGTTTGATGTCTTTTGGTGTCAAATGGTTGCCTATTCTAAGGCATTCATACCTCATAAGTGTTCATTTTCCCTTAATAAGCCTATCTATTGTTTGACCAAAAATTGAGCCACGGGGGCAAATTCATTTCCAGACATGAAGGAACAATAAGGGCCGCAGTCTCTGTGGCTCCACAAGTCTTTATTCAACCAGTGAACTTTGTCTCTTTTATGATTTTGAGCTATGTTCCACCTTTTTTCTTCCACTCTATTCAGGATTTCTCAACGTGGTCCTTTTCATAGAAGTTCATAGGAGTCGCCGGACACCATCTAATTCTTCGGATCTCAGCGTGGTGGAAACTGAAGTATATGTGATCCAGTATCTTTTGGACTAATTGTTCCCTTGTGCTTTTGATTTTCATGACTCGTCTTTCCTCGGGGAGGAGCTCATTGAACTGCTAACTGCAAGGCCAGTAGTTTGAACCCACCAGTCACTACATGGAATCAACATGAAGCTTTCTGCTCCCATAAAGATTTACAGCCTGGGAAACCTAGAGGGGCAGTTCTACCCTATCCATTAGGGTGGCTTTAAGTCAAATTCAATGTTGAATTTTAAATTTGGACAGACAGAACAATTGCTGCACCTTAGGTGGATTTTCACAAGCTTTTACCACCCAGTTGCTACTCAACAAGTAGACTATTGAACGTTGTCAATTACCATAGTGTCCCCTGAGACTATGGTTCTGATTCCCTAGGTCTGGTGACTCATTTTCCCAAGATGTTTGGTTTTGTCTAAGAAGTTTTCATGTCTTTTCCTCCTGTATGCTCCACCACATTCACGGATATATAGACATAGTAAATACTCCTATACAAATATCCTCTGCCAAACGTTTAAATATCTGAAAGTGTGTTTTTACTCTCCCTCCCACACCCATTCAATCTGTGTTTCTATCCATGATCAGCTTCATTACAGAATTGTGTACGCTTCTTGCTGCCTTAATTATCTCTTGCCCCTTTTGTCAGTGTCTGCCTATGCCTCCGTCATCTTTTTGCAATTCTTTTCTTATTGTATATTGCCTTACCCTTTGCCCAATTTCTTGAAATCTGATTGACTTCTCCATTTGTAACTACACTATTTCCTCTTCTTACATCGTAATTGTCTTTATAACAAATTGATATTTCTGGGTCTTTACTTTCAGTCCTGTAGGTTTGTTATACTTTGAATATTTCTATATCTGGGTTGACTTTTGGGTGGTGTTGTCAGGGCTATTAATCTCAGGTTATTGTTGGCTCTCGGTCTAAAGAGCTCCCTTTCTTATTTCTGCAAAGTTTCTCTGGTTTTTACAGCTTCCTTTAATTTCTATTTATCCATAATTGTCGTAATTTCACCATCATATTTGAGGAACAATTTTGCTGATTATATGATTTTTGCTTGCCTCCTTGCTTTCATGGCTTCTGCTGAGAAATTGGAGCTTAGTTTTATTGGTTCTCCTTTGTGGCTAATTTTTCATTTTTCCTCTCAGGATTAGTTCCTTGTCTTTGGTTTTGGAAAGTTCAATAATATGACATGGCGATTTTTCTTTTGGGGTCTATTCTGTTTGAGGTTTGTTTAGTTTCTTGAATGCCTTCATGATGGTGGGGGAAATTTCTTTTAACAACTCTTCAGCAAAGTCTTTATGTGCTGTTTTATTTGTTTATTTGGTCTCTTCCTGTTCTGGCATTCCAATCACAAGGAAGTTCCTTCTCTTAATGGGAGCCCACATAATTCTTAAACTTTCTTCAGACTTTTTGTTCTTTTATCTGATTGTTCCTCTAGCACATTCGCATTGAGAGATTTGTCTTCAAGTTCACCAATTCAGTCTTGCATTGAGTCAATTCTACTCCTTTGCCTTTACAGGGTATTACCAATTTCTGAAATCTTATTATTAATCTTCTGTATTCTATTTACCACTTTTGCATGGTTTACAATTTTCATTTATTTTGTTAGTTTGTTCTTTCAGTGCATTCCTGAAGTCTTCTCAATTGTTTTACTTGCTTTCATCTGCAACTTTCGTTATCTTTAAATCCATTGAAAATATCTAAATATCATTCTTTTGAATGTCTTATCAGTAATTCTAATACATTTTATTCCTCATAAAGACTTCTAGCTCTGTGTTTTGGTGACTCATTTGAGCCACTCTATCTTTTTCTTCCTATGAACTGAAATCACAGCTTGTCACAAGATATTGTGGTATTAGATTTTGATTGATGATTGTATGTTGGTGTGTTCTTAGGCACGCATCACCTGTCTCCTTACACCTGTGGGAGTAATACAGCATGTGAGCATGTGCACAGTTCTCTGCTGTCTGTGGTACACAGTTGAGGGTGGGTCTGTATAGTATTGGCTGTTGTCTGTCAATGATCATGTAGCAGCTCAGTGGGTGTGGATACAGGCGGTATGGGTGTGGCTGGACCATGTAGGCAATGTTGTTTCCCACTGGATTGGACAGGGGGTAAAAGCAAGAAAAAAATAAAACAAAAGGAAACAACAGCAAAAAAGAAAAAAGGCTGGAGAAAACAGGCAAACAATAGCAAGGAAAAATAATTCAATAACTATAAAGGAAAAGGGAGGCAAAAACAGGGAAGAAAACAAGAATAGAAAAAGTGCAAAAGCAAAACTAGGGAGGAGGGAAGAAAAGATAATAGGAGAGAGAGAAAAAAGAAAGGAGAGGGGAAAGGAGAAAGAAAAGCAGAGAAAGTAATGATAAAAACCAGGGAGAGGGAAAACACACAAACAAGCAAGAACAAGACCCAGAAAGGAAAAAGAAAGAAAAGACTGTGGAGGGCAGGTACCCAGTATGAGTCGGCACCCTCTGCCAGTCAAGGTGCTCATGAAATAGGGGGTTGAGGTAAAGGGTCTGGCGTGTCCAGTCCTAAGTGGACTTCCTGCTGGCCTAGGTGTTTCTGTTCAAGTTCAGGGCAGTTGATTCAAAAGTAGTTGATTCTGGCTCAGAAAGTGACTGAGGACAGGGTGCATGTTCACAAGGAATTCTTTGGGGGCGTAGTAGGCAGCTAGAAAAGAGTAGGTATTCTAGAAGAAGTTCTTGTCTACCCACGAGGGTCTAGAGGCTGGCACTGTACATTATGGTGGTCAGATGAGGTGGAGTTCACATGACTTCAGACTCAGGATGGTGCACCAGAAGCCAAGTCCATGAGGGCTTGGCTCTGACTTCAGGTACATGTGGGGAATGTCACCAGCCACTGGGTGAGTGAGAGGGAGCGCTGACCACTTCCCTGGTCACCAAGAGAGTATATGTAACATGGGAGGATCTCCATTTTCTCATCACCATTCATCAGGGTATTTGTGTTCTCAGGATAGCATCAGACCAACTGGCAATGCACTGATGTGTCCCCTCTTGCCACTTTTGTTCAGCTTCTTCTAGTCTGCCAGCACTCAGTCCATTTCTCTATCTCAGTCCACTTCTCTACCATTTCCTCTGAAAGTCAGTGTTCTAGGATTATCATCTGTATCTATTTCATTTGGTCTTATGTCTTTGTTGTGGAGAGTCTGTATAACGTGTGTGCTTAGTCTGCCATTTTCCTCGAAGTCCCAAGGATCATGTTCTAAGACACACACAGTGAGGTATTTTTCACAGCTGAATTTGAAATATATTAAAGTCCCAATGACCTCTTGTTGGTCCACATAATGGCACATTAAGATCACTAAATGAGCCAAACTTCATATCTATGTATTATGTCTTAATAGTTACCAATCCTAAATTATAGAAGATCTATGGAGAACAGTTCTACATTTTGGTTCTCTATGAATCAGAATTGACTCAGTATCAACTAACAACAATAAGCTACAGCAGCATGTGTGCTACAAAACAAACCCATTGCCACTGTTGTTGTTAGGTGCCATCAAGTGGGTTCCAACTCATAGCAATCCTATACACAACCAAACCAAACACTGTGTGGTCCTGTGCCATCCTGGCAATTGTCCCTATGCCTGAGCCCATCGTTAGAACCACGGTGTCAATCCATCTTGCTGAGGGCCTTGCTCTTTTTTGTTGCCTCCACTTTACCAAGCATGATGTCATTCTACAGGGATTGGTCTCTCCTGACAACAAATTATGTAAGATGAAGTCTTGCCATCCTTTCCTTTAAGGAGCACTCTGGCCATACTTCTTCCAAGACACTTCGAATTGTCCTTTTAGCAGTCCATGATAGTTTCAATATTCTTCTCCAGCATCATCATTCAAATGCTTAGATTCTTCTTCAGTCCTCCGTAATCAATGTGCAATTTTCACATGCATATGAGGCAATGGAAAATACCATAGCTTGAATTAGGCACACCTTAGTCCTCAACATAACATCCTTGCTCTTCAATTCTTTTCAATACTTCTGATTTATGCAGCAGATTTACATAATGCAGTGCATCTTTTAATCTCTTGACTGTGGCTTCCATGAGCACTGATTGCGGATCCAAGCAAGACAAAACCCTTGGCAACTTCAACCTTTTCACCATTTTCTATGATGTCAACTATTGGTCCGTTTGTGAGGAGCTGCGTCTTCTTTATATCGAGTTGTCATCCAATTGATTGAAGTATTGAAGACTCCAATCCTTGATCTTTATCAGCTAGTGCTTCAATTCCTCCTCAATTTTATCAAGCAAAGTTGTGTCATATTCATACATCACTTGTTAAAAAGCCTTCATTTGATCTTGATGCCCCATTCTTTATATAATCCAGCTGCTATGATTATTTGCTCAGCAAAAATATTGAACAATTATAGTGAGTGGATAAAACACTGATGCGCACCTTTCCAGATTCTATTTGCATAACTGTCTCTTGTTTCATATTCAAGTTCCTCATGAGCACAAGGAAGTACCATGGAATTCCCATTCGTCTCAACGTTATCCATAGTTTATTATGGGCCACACAATCAAATGCTTTACATAGTCCATAAAACATAAGGAAACATCTTTCTGATATTTTCTTCTTTGAACCCAGATGGATCTAAGATTAGCAATTATAGCCATCATTCCATGTCCTCTTCTGAATCCAGCCTGAACTTCTGTCAGTTGCCTATTAACATACAACCACTACAACCACTAGATGATCTTCAGCAAATTTTGCTTGCAATACCAATGATATTGTTCTGTAGTTTGAGCGTCTTGTTGGGTTACTTTTCTTTGGAATGGCGTTGTCATTGAGTTGATGATTCCGATTCTCAATGGTTCCCAAACTGCCCATATCAGGTTTCCAAGGCTTCAAATCTTTTCCCCTGGAGTGGCTGGTGAGTTTAAACCACTATTATTTTGGTTACTATTCAAACACTTCACCACTGAACCACCAGGCTCCTTCTATGTACTAGAACAAGAACCCAGTGCCATTGGGTCCATTACAACTCATAGTGATCCAATAGGCCAGACAGAACAACTCCATAAGCTTTCTAAATCTATCACAAGTTCCTCTTACCGAGCAGCTTGTGAGTTTGAACTGCTCACCTTTCCATTTGCTGCACTTCAACGACTATGCCACCATTGCTCCCATATGTACCATCATTTCCCTTAAAGCCAAATCTTTTTAACTGAGATCCAAACATCAGAGAACACATCATTTGCCAAGCAAGGAACAAAATACATGTACTATTTTCCCTCCATATGCATTTTCTTGCTTTGAAACTCTCTGGGATGATCTAATTCCTTCTCTTAGAGGGAATCTTTAAACTGCCATCCATTTAGTTTATACCTGACAATGACAAGAGTCATGGGCAGCTTCGTACCTGCTTTTCCCGGTATCAATCAAGCTGAGGCAGTAAATATGTATTGAATACTTCCTAGGTGTAAGGGCGGGTAAAGAAATACTCTGCAAATGTTTTCTGCAATTCTATTGACTGGTGGAGTGCTCTTGGACACAATAAAGGATCTACAGCTAGTGAAGTTCCTGGTGGCAAACACTTTCTAGTACCTTAAAAGGTCATGGCCATTCGTGAGTGTGTTAACAATCCCAAGGAAAGCAAATTCATTTTCTGAAGAGGTTTCTTAGATGTGTTTTTTGAGGTTTTTATTCTCTTCTCTCCTTGGCAAAAGAATTCTAAAGCAAATGCCATTTTCCCAAATAAATTTTCTTTTACAAGATTTCAGAAACTCTTCCCTGATTGCTAGATTGTGGTTTTGGATATTTTATCTGCATGGATATGACTCGCCATATCTGCTGAATTTGTAATCATTGCTTAAGAGGCCTCTGTTTGTGAAGCCTTTAATAAATTCCCCTTTGGGGGTGGCAATGCATCTTTTCTAGAGGAAGATCATATAAAAACCAATAATAGACAAAATTGACAAAGTAAACTAAGTGATGGATTTGATATCTGGATTCATCCATCTACTTTCTCAGTGTGCCCTTCCCGAACACGGAGCAGATATTTTGATTGTGCTAGGCCTGGCCAGGCAGGCAGTGCAAGGCTCTCTCCCTCCTCTTTATCACCAGAGCATCATGTCCAAATCTTTATAGTTCTTCTGACCACCTTGCATCGAATTTATTTACTGGGCTCTCTCTCCCCCATGAGAGGGACCCTTGAGGTTAGTGAATGTCTTATTCTCTTTGTAGTCTCAATGTTTACCACACTGCCTTGCTCAGCAAAGTTAAAGGAACACAGTATAGACATTACTGATAGTTAAATACAACAGATGGATGGCATTCACTCACATAATTTATTATTGTGGTAGAGTTGTAGTCACTTTCCACATGAAGAAAGATTCAGAGGACAGAGGAGGGGTGAGATTTAAGAAAACTACTCACCTCCCAAGGCAATGATTGAACATATAAGCAGTGGGAAATTCAGCTCTCCTTCTGGGTAGTCAGCAGGCCTCCCACACATAACTCTGTTTTCGCTCACACTAGACTTATTCATTTTTCCTCTGTTTTTTCCAGTCCCAATTTGAATGTGTGAATTATACCATTATAGACCAACCTATTTAGGAAAAGAAGAAGAAATCCAATGCCATAGAGCCCATTCTAATTCCTGGCATTTTATGTTAGCGTAGAATCATATCATACCCCACAAGGGTTTCTAGTTGTAATCTTAGTGGGATCAACTGTTAGGCATTTTTCTCCAGGTACCACTGGCTGGGTGAAAATAATCAACTTTTAGTCTAGTAATTGAACACAAATTATTTGCAACATTTAGGAACCTCACCTGTTATAATACACAAAGAGATTAAAATGTGGCCTACCAGGACCTAATTTAGCCACAAACTAACTAAATTTGTACCACTCTTGGACCTACTCATTGTGGTTTTTGTTTTTCCCAAATCCACTTCCACTGTGTCAGTTCTGACTCATGATGACCCTACGGACAGAGAATTGCCTCTGTTGGTCTGCAACACTGTCATTCTTTATGGGCGAAGAAAGGCTCCTCTTTCTCCCACGGAACTGGTGGTTTCAAACTGCTGACCTTGTGGTTAGCAGCGCAGTGCATAACCAGTATGCCAAGAAACATTAATAGCAGTATTAATGTTTCTTTCTCATGATGTTGTTTGTGCATGTATGTGTGTTGATTGCTGCGTCACTATGTCATGATATGCTCATGTCTTTGCCTTCCCCAATGGAGAGTGAGTCTCCCCCAGGCCCCAGCTAAATATCAACTTTCTTCAAAGGTGGGTATGCATTATGTGGCAGATAATAGACTCTCCACAAATATATGATAAATTCCCTGAGGGGGGAGGAGCAAGGCTAAATATTAAATTCCTGGTTCTGCATGGACACAAATCATTCTGAAATTTCCTTCTACTTTTCCAACCCCCATGCCCACCTTTACCGTCTCTCAGCCCCTCCAAAGTCCAACATGGAAAATGAGGAAAAAGGCCAAACTTGAGTCATATCAGTTAAGAAGAGGGTGAGGGTGGGGGTGAGTAACCCAATAATAAAAGGAAGGATTAACCTTGAGTGGATTCAGAGCTGTGTCTCCTTTCCTACGTACCATGTACAGCATTTGGCAAATGAGTAGGAGGTGGAATTTCATCCCCCCCAAACCCCCTCAACTAATTCCCTAAGGTGAGATATAGTCTGCACAAATATATGCAGTGGTCCTGAGGATTTATTGTATTTCTCCTTGTATCTCACTTTAATCTAAAACTCTGAAATGTTCCCAAAGTATCCCCAATGACATTTCAAACTCATTTTCACCCCTTGTTTTACACTAGTTTGATTTAAAGATTATGGTTCTGGTGCGAAACAGAGAGGGGTGGGGGGTGAGCCGAATGCAATTCAAAATGGTACATCTCCAAAATATTTCATCTGCCCCCCAAATAGTCCTTCAGGTCCCTAACATCTTCAAAACCTGCTATCCCTACTTGTTATTACAACATCACCCTCAAATCAAGCTCCTCTCCAAGATACCAAGACCAGTGATGTCTTCTTCTAAGATTAAGTTGGTCCAAAATTGAGGCCAAGATGAAAACTCTTGAAAATCACAAAGACCAAGCACTCACCTCTGTGACTGTTTGCCAGGGACAGTGCTGCCAACTGATCATTCACACATGCCCTTGCCTAGTTCCCATTGGTTTCTGACCAACAAGCTTTCATTCTGATTGGCTACTTATGTTACCCTCACTCCCAATCCAGAAGCAGCTCAGTGATTCAATTCCAAGGAAGTATGAGTTTGTTAATATTCAAGCTGTGTCTATACTCACAACTGTTTTAACTGATGTTTTGAATCTGATATGTTAACTGACATGGTCAAAGATGTTGATCATATGGACAGAACCTCCTTCTATGCATTTTTATAAACTCTCCATTTCTTTCTCCAACCTTATCCAGCTGGGGAAAGAACTTATCCTTTTTCAATGTTGTCTTGTTTCCGGATTCATTTTCATTCGTCCTTTTTCACTTTGTTTCTTTGGCTTCTTTTTCAGCATTTCTTACTCATATTCCCCTCTCTAATTCCTATTGTAACTGACTTTTGAACCTTAATTGGAAATAACAATGCTGCCTAATCTTTACAGAAGGACAAATAATACCCCATTCCATGATGCCTGGTACACATCTTTTGTTTCAAATTCTCACTAAAAATTAAATACAGTATCATTAAACATGTGAACATTACTCATCAAAGTACAGTTTACTTTCAAAGCCGTTATTTTATGACAGTGAGATATTCTCTCAATCCGCTCATTCCTGTGCCACGCTGGTCAAGGGTAGCCACACATTCTTTTTCCCAGGACACCAAGAATAATGTAACAGCAGCAAGATTACTAAGTCTATCATCAACCTTCTCCACCACTATGTATCAATGAATCTTTTGACAAATCAAAGTCATAATTCTTGTTTGAGAGAGCTGTCCCTAACTGCAACAACCATGCTTGGTACCTCCATCTCAACCCCACCCCCCCCCAAATATTTGCTTTACATCAATGAGAATGAATAGGGCACAGCTTGGGGTGGCTCTTTTAAGTCACCATCCCAGCCCCTACCATAAATGCTAGGGATCATGTTTAAAAATAAAAGTTGTAAAACTTCTCTCCTGAGCAGCCTATTCCTTACTTTTCCTCATACTGCCCTTACTTACCTGTTCTAATTACTAAGTTCACTGCCCTGTCCCCCGTTCTCATTTTCATCTTCTCTAACCTGATTGCCTTGACACTGACTTCTCTCAACATTAAGTTTGGTTCTCCTCTCAGCTGCACTGCCTCAGCTCATTTTGAGCGATGCTCAAATGGTTCCTCTTCATGCCCACACTACTGTTGTGCCTTCAGGCTCATCTGGCTTACCTAGACTTCATGGGTAAGACTCCAGAAATTTTAACTTTCAAAATTTGGAATCTCCATAGTTTTTAGTAAAATCTATGGGGGGAAAAAAGAAAATAAGGACAAAATTCATAGTTAGCGCTAGATTAAAGATAGTTCTGAAAGCTAGAGATTAACATATAGCTGAAATAGAAAATCAAATTTCTCTACCTTATAACCTTTCCCATGGGGTTCCCAAAAAAAGGCAATCATAAACTTAGATTTCATAATCTTTTTTAAAGCCAGATAAAATAGATTTTGGTAGCTTCGGGAAGTTGAAAGCTCGGGATTTCCTACTGTATTTTCTCCCAACCCCACCTTCTGATAATAGACTAGCACCATCTGACTGAGATGGTACTGTGGTTAATCACAGTTCTCCTTTCCCTTCACATTGTAATTCACTTAGGTGTGGGCATAGGATCAGACAGGACCAATCAGATGGTTCCTGGGGAGAGAGCGTTCTCTCTTCCTGTGGATTAATAAACTGTGATGATGACTGCCTAGAGCAGTTGGAGGCCATCTTCCTCGCTGAACCCAGAAAGCCCAGCTACAGTCTGAAAGATTATAGATATTTTTAGATACCTCTGACATCTCAACAAATCACTTTACAATACCACACTCAAACCGAAACCAAACTCACAGCCACTGAAGTGACATAGCGACCCTACAGGACAGAGTAGCTCACCCTTGTGAGTTTCTGAGACTACAAGTGTTTACGGGAGTAGAAAGCCCCATCTCTCTCCTGCAAAGCAGCTGGTGGTTTCAACATGCTCACCTTTCAGATTGTAGCCATTGTAGCACCGGGGCTCCTTCAATCCCACACTAGGTTAGAATCCATCCCCCTCCAACCTCACCCCCCAGCAACCATTTCTTAGTTTGAGAATTTTTGCCATCTAGAAATGCTAGGAATGGAAAGCAACTTCAAATGTAGCATGTATTGTCTCCTTGATATTTACCTTTTATTTGAAAGTGTAAATGTTCCTTTTTAGTGCTTGAGCACTCTATTTGGAAATATCCTTAGCAGAATTGTTGCATTCAGTCTTATCACCACCACATATCAAGCGTCCCTTTCTCCAGCTGCACCTAGAGGAGCAAGACCTGGTGATCTGCTCTTGTGACAACCACAGCCTAGAAAATTCAATGGAGCAAGTCTGTCCTGTCACATGGAGCTGCCGCGAGGGCACACTGACTAGAGAGCACCTTGTCTTCCGCTAATAGATCTCCTTGAACCCCGCAGGCTCTCATGGCCCTCCAGCTTCTGCCTGCCACCTCATTTCAAAGGCAAATGCCATACAGTTTAGCTTCCTTCCCATGCGGGCCTCTCCAGGGACTGCTTTGCGTTTCACATATCATAGTGGCTAGCTTCCAAGTGGGAGCATCTATGAGAACTGTATCCATTTTTTATTGCTGTATAACAAACTAAGATAAACACTGAATACCTTCAAAACAACAACAATCGTTTATTTAGCACAAAAATCTTAAATTTCAACAGGGCTCGACACAGGAGGCTTGTCTAGGCTCCATACATATTAGCTGGGACGGCTTGACTGGAAGATCGACGTCCATGAGGCTCATTGTTCATATGGCTGGTAGGCTGGTCGTGCCTACTGGCTGGCAGTGCAGTGAGGGCTGTGGGCTGGAGCCTCCGTTTCTTTGAAGGTGGGCTTCCCCACAGGCTGTTTTACCTTCCAATTGTCATGGTGATTGGTATCCAAGAGGAAGTGTGTCATGGGAACTAGGTGAAAACTGCATCCCTCTGTGTGATTTGCTGGGAAAATCACGCATGAGCATTTCTTGTAGTCACAGGCCTGGACAGATTCAGGGAGAGAGAATAGAGATCCACACCTTTCATCCAGACTACATTGTAAGAACATGGAGGACAGGGGATACTGGGGTGGCCATCTTTGAAAATCCAGTCTACCTCTTATTAGGTAAAACATAAGGGTGATTGTCAGGCCTTTACAATGTAGATCATCACGTTAATCTAACTCTAGAGCAGTAGTTCTCAAAGGCCAGACTACAGCTCAGTTTAGATTCATGACAAAGAGTTTACCATACAGTCAATGAACTGAATATCATTATTTAAAACCCGACGACAACAACAACAACAAAAGTTTCATTATACATGGCAAAATGAGAAAAATAAATGTAATATACAGACATGTAGTAAAGCTCAATTTATACAACAGGAAGGGTAGAGTCTTACATTGAGATGATATCCTCCTGTTTTTTTCTGGTATTAAATTGTCTTTTCTCTTATTAAATAATAGTGACAAAACTGTTCTTTTAGTGGGATCATGTCCACCCCCTCCTTTTAAAAAACATTTTCCTGATCAATAAAATATAAAAATCTAAAGAACCACTATCTAGAAATTATCATAACACTGAATTTGCTTGACCACCTGTCAGATAACATGGAGACTTTTATGTGCTTTGAAATAGTAATACTTGTGCATACAGGCAGCTCAACCAGGGGGGAGGGGATGCACTAAGACAGATCTGGTGGCAATTGTACGATTCCTCTTGATAGGATTGAACGATAGAACTATTCAATTATATGATTTGCAAATTGTGTGCCAATAAAACTGTTGCGGGGGGAGAAATAGTAATCATGGATTAGATGTTAAAATAGTCAGGCAGCTACTTGTGTTAAACCCAAGCCATAAGGGTATTTTAACTCTCCTGTGACTTCAATTTACTGAAACAGTAGGAAACAAGAAGTACTACATCTCTCAAAACAGACTAAAATTATAGATCTACAGATATAATGCAATATGTAGATCTTCATATCCAAGGAATATTTAAAATGAGATCGAGGAACCCCTTGGCAATTAGCAGGTTCACATGACTGAAAAACAATATGGTGTTCCAAAAGAAAGCTCATAAGTAGAAGCTCGCAAGAGAAACTACCCATAGATCCATTGTGCTGTGTGGGTGTGGGTGTGTTGGGGGGAGGGGGGCTTGTTTTCTACAGGGGCTGGAGGTTAGATGAGGTACTGGCACAAGCAAGATATGGAGATAAAGATTCAGGAATCATTTTTATAAAGGTAAACATGCACTAAGAATGAATGCAGAGATAATTATTTCTATAAATAAAATAGTACTAAAGAAGAATTCATTCAATCATCATTTACTAAGAACTTACTATTTTACAGATATCTTAAGATATGAGGGAAAATAAGACAAGGTCCCTACCCTCAAAAAGTTCACAATTCCCATGAGGAGGAAACATGTGAACTATTAACCAGACTATAACATGAGATTATTAGATCTGTGAATACCCCAGAGAAGAGGGGATACGTCTTGCCCTACTGGTAACAGGGAAGGTCATGGGGCGAAGATTTGTAGATTATTTCATGAGACGTCAGGACAGAATGTTGAGATACTCAAAATATATAGTATAGGGTTACTTTGAAGGAGAGGAGCTTAAGAGTGAGTTCGAAAGCAGTTTATAAGAGAATAGAGGAGCCACTGTGGCACAGAGGAGCTAACACGAGGAGTTTCAAGAAGATAGCATCAGACGCCCTGCCAACAGTTACAAAGAAGTTTGAGGATGCAGGACGAGAGATTAATAAAGAGGAAAAGAAAGTTTCAGTTCATACTAAAGGGTTTCTAAAAATTCCTAGGAATCTTTAGGTGAAATCTAGGAATTCACTCATTTCCTGGATCATATGCTTGGGGGTGGGCTGGGAAATTGCCATATTCAAGATCAATGCTTAGAAAATACAGAGTCAGGGTGAAAACAGCTCAAAAAGCATCTGATCTTTACTCAAATTATTGTCGTGCTTAAGGACACTGGACTTCCAATGATAAATGGTGTTAGGAGAATGGAGTAAAACAGATCTCCTTGTTTGGTAAGCAGTTGCCATTGCGTCTGTTCAGTGTGTGTCAGAGTAGAACTGTGCTACATAGGTTTCCAAAGCCTGGTGTGTTTCAAAATATATTGGCAGAGCTTTCTTCCGACGTGCTCTGGGTAGACTTGAACATCCAAACTTTCAGTGAGTCACATAGCATGTTAACTATTTGCAACACCCAGGGGTTTCTCCTCTTTTGTACCCTCCATAAACACCCAGTGAGTCTACCAGAGAAGGGAGTGAGAATTATTGCTATTCTTCCACTTAAGGCAATTGAGACTGAGTTGTTTACATGCATACGTAAAAGGATCTCAAATTTTTTAAATTAGGGTGACAAATTATAAAACAGTGTTATCTAAAAACCATGTTAGAGAAAATGTCAATTGACAAGGTATTATACTGACTTGCTCATTTCTTGTCCTACGCTCCCATGATGAAAAACTAGTATATAGGGAGGGACAAAGAATAGACAGTTAAAAGGACAAGGAATAAAAGCTTTCTAGAAAAAAATTTTCTCTATAAAATGTTACCAGAAAAAGGAGAAGTTTCAAGGATTTTATTAGATAAGTTAGGGGGTCTTAAGGGAAATAATTTCTAAATCACCAAAATGAAACCAACTACGTTATTTAAGAGCTAAAAATTATAAAACACAACAAGAGGAAAATGGCATAAAGTCTAGTTACATCTATATTACCAAAACTACAAAATAGTAGAAATCTTATAAGTATAAAACTAAACAGGCTTATGTTGATGAATTACAACATAGGCCATAAAAATAAGGAGGCTATTCAGAGACTACTCCCATCTTACTAGTGAAATTTAATTTGCCCTGATCCCATGATACTTAATATTCCCTCTTTCCAAAATGTCATTCCATAGGGTTTCCTTCTGAGAGAGGGAGAATATTTTTCCACTATAATAAAATATGCTTTTTAAAAATGGGATTCCTCAATTGAATGGACATTTCCTATCTCAATTACACAGAAAATTATTAGATTCTCTAAACAGTTTGAAAAGGTTTGTCTGATCTTCCTGTGTGAGTCACACCCACCTGTCTATGGAGGAAGTAACCTGGAATTCACATGTATTGTCCATTGTGCGCAGAGGCTAGGCCAGAGTGTCTGGACATAAGCATGATAAACAGGGTACAACAAAAGTAATTTGATTTCACACTTAAACAACTTTATAAAATCCAATACTTGTTTTCTTCACTTCATGAATACATTTTCTTTACAGACATTAGAAGAAAATATTGCCTTTTGCAAAATACACACTCAGGAGGAGGTATGATTTTGATGTCTTTGTTGACATGGCTTAGATCACAGATTTGGCACTTTTTGCTTGACCTGAAAGGAAACAGAATTTTAAATGAAAGTTAATTCACTTGCAAGTTGAAACAAAATGAAGCTAGATTTTGAAACTGTAGGCATCAAGTAAATTAGTATAAACCAGGCTGCATTAATTAATAACAGAACCCTAAAGTTGGTATATTGATTCAAGTATTTGCTCCTCCTTTATTTAAATATAATCCCATTTCCTACATAATCAGTATTCTTGTTACTAGTTCTTCCTTTGACTAGAGTAAGTTTGTCTTCCCTTTCTTCATTATAAAGCGAGATGTTGTTTCCAATAAGGTTCCATCCCGATCTAATGATCTATGATACATGTGTAGGATGCTGGAATGGCTGAAGGGGATAGAATAAGAGGAGATCTGGAAGATAGACAGAATTCTTCCTCACAGATGAGAAGTGAGGGAGGGAGGGTTGTTGGGTCAGAGAAATGGTAGAGATGGCAGAAGAGATGGCAGAAATCACGAACTACATAATTACCAATTCGAGTCTTAATCATCTCATTCTAGATAGTCCAAACTATCGTAGTCTCTTTTTCTCTAAACTTCTTTCCCTCTGATGCATTTTGCAAATAAAGCCAGACGACTCTCCCTACTTAATCCTTCTCTCTTATCCCAAAGCCTTTCATGGCATTCCGCTGCCCAGAAAACCAAGCCCAAACTTCTAATCATACAACTCAGTACTTTTCCTAAATGGTCACAATCTGACTTTCTATTGCACCTTAACACAAAATCAATTACAACAATCCAGGTGTGTACTCTCCATTTCCTTATATTTCCATGTGTGAATTTTTTATCATCATCTTGTGGTTTCTGTTCTGACAGAAAGCTGTCAGATGGGCTCCCCATCTACCCAAGTAATTCCTCTTTCTCCATGAAATGTTCTCTTTCTACTAAGCTTCCTCGGAACATACACACTACTTGGGTACCTTTAGAAGACTGTGTTTTGCTCATAAATTAGGTGGTAGGCTCCTTTAGGATAAGAACAAGTATAAAGCCTCTATCTCCTCCAGCGTACTAGAGTGCTAGGAGGAGCCTCAATAAATATTAGCTATAGATAGTAAAACATCTTCTGTCATGCTACCTAGAAAAGGTAGGAAACGTGCTTTAATCTTTAAAAACCACATCCCCTTTGGATATACATAAAAATCTTATATATCTACATGCAAAAAAAAAGTGAATTTGGATCCCTATTCATAACATAAGAGGAGTCCTGGTGCCACATTGTGCTGCTACCCACTAGATCAGCAGTTCGAAACTACCAGCCACTCCAAGGGAGAAAGATGAGGCTTTCTACCTCTGTAAAGAGCTACAGTCTCAAAAACACACAGGGACAGTTCTTTCCTGTCCTGTAGGGTCACTGTGAGTCAGAATTGACTCTATAGCAGTGAGAGAGATCTTATATCATATCCAAAAATTAGCTCCAAATCTATCATAGAACTAAATGTAAGAACTAAAACTCTCATAAGAATATATAGACGTAAATCTTTGTGATGTTGAGTTAGATAAATTTCTAGATGTGATACCAGAAGAATAGCAATAAAAGACAAAAATGGGTAAATTATACTTCATCAAAATTTAAATTGTGTTTCAAAGGACATGTGCAAGAAAATGAAAATATCCACAGGACAGTAGAAAATAATTACAATTCAAATCTCTAATAAGGAAATTGTATCCGGGATATATAAAGTATCTCTATAACTCAACCACATAAAGATAATACAGTTAAATAAATATATACACATATATATGAATGGCATTTCTCCAAATAAGAACTACAAATAGCCAGTAAGCACATGAAAAACCATTTAAGATTAGTAATAATTAACTCAACCACTGATGTTGAGTCAATGCAATTCATAGTGACCCTATAGGACAGAGTGGTACTGCTCTTGAAGCTTTCCCAAACCATAAATCATTGTGGAAGCAAGCAGCCTCATCTTTTCCCCCAAAGAGTAGCTGGTAGGCTTGAACTGCCAATCTTGCAGTTAGCAGGTCAACACTTAACTAATTGCACCACCTTTAGTAGCGATTCTGACATAAAGTAGATTTTGACTCATAACGACCTTATGGGACAGAGTAGAACTACTCCCGTGGGTTTCCACAGAGGTTAATCTTTACAGGAGCAGGAGTCTCCTCTTTCTCCCATGAAACAACCAGTACGTTTGAACAGCTGATCCTAGAAATACAAATCAGAACTACAGTGTAAAACCATTTCACATCCAGTCCATATTGGGAAGGATCCTTCATCAACTGATAAAAGTATAAGCAAAATTTATATGTATCCAATGAAATATCATTTCAAAGAACAAATAAATCTGTCTTGGAAGAGGTACAGGCAGAATGCACCTTGGAAGAGAGGATGGAGAGACTTCATGTCACATACTTTAGACATGCTGTCAGGAGGGTCCAGTTCCTAGAAAAGGGCATCGTGCTTGGTAAAATAGAGGAGCAGCGAAAAAGAGGAAGACCCTCAAAGGAATTGATTGACATGATGGCCACAAAATGGGCTCAAACACAATTGTGAGGATGGTGCAGGACCAGGCAGTGTTTCATTCTGTTGTACTGTATGTCACTATGAATCTGAGGTAGTTAGTTTAGTGTGCCAACATGGCTGATAAACGCATGTGGGGTTAATTGAAGAGCGGAGAGATAAATGGCTTGGTGAGCCTCGCCTTTAGAGTTCTTGGGTCTCTTGCTTTGTGATGGTTGGACGAGGGTGTAGTTGCCTTAGCCAATTCTCTGCTTCAGATGGCAAGGCTCACGTCCTGCAAGACATCCACAAGGAGAAACCACATGGACCTACCCCGATGCAGCCCTGGGTGCTGGAGCAGCCATGTGGAGACCCCTGCCAGCACTGAGATGCTTACAGGTTCACTGACTCGGCTTTCCTCCTGCAGTAGGTGTCATTGCTTGTGCTTTGTGAGATGGAGGAGGACTTTGTGGATTGGTGTCAGATATATGGGTTAATGTTGGACTTGTGGGCTAGGGCAGCACTGGGTTGGGATGTTTTCTTGATGTGCACTTAACCTTTATATGAAACTCTCTCTTATACATGAGTTTCTGTGGATTTGTTTCTCTAAAGTACCCAGACTAACACAGAATCATACCCCACTCAATGGCACTTCACAACCGCAATTCACATCAAATGTGGAGCAGAGGAAAATCACAGAAGCAGAAAGTAGAGTCATGGTTGTCCAGGAGGGAGGGAAGAAGAGAAAATTACTTCTGATGGGCACGGGTTTCTTTTTGGAGGTGGGGTGATAAAACTACCCTAATAGCTGATTGCTGTGACGGTTTCACAACTCTGTGAAGATGCTGAAAGTCCCAGAACTTTAAGTGTACTTTGAAGGGGTGAATTTTATAGTAGGAAATTATCTCTCAGTAAAACGATTATTTAAGAAATGCTATGTACCCCTGACACAAAGAGTCTGATATATGCACCTCCCCCATTCAAAGGATACTATTCCAGCAAAATCAAAACTCACATTCTGCTACCTATCTCCCAGTAGGCCATGCATCCCTTGTTGAGAATCATTGGTTCACCAAACAAAGGCACCATAAATTTAGGTGATTGGTAATTATTCTAATGTTAAAATTAGTATTAGACATGTACTATAAAATATTTCAGCTATTATTATCACTAGTTAATAATATTTAAAGTAATATTAGTTAATACTTAAAGTAATATTGAAATCAGAAAGCTAGACCCATGGGTTAGTGATAGTAGTTAATAAGTATAGAGAATATTAAAATCAGACGATTTCAGAAGTAACATTAAAGCTACTTTCATCTTCTTTAGTATCCAAATAGACTTTTCTCCAAAACTTACGTGGTGCAGATATTTTTGTGAAAATAGGAGTCACAATATCTTCCAATAGTTGTTTCTGTTCCAAAAGCTCACTAATGGATGCTTCCAAGTGGGTTTCCAGCCACTCGTTCTTGGCACGGCATGCACTGAGGATGGTATTCTAGGGACAGAAGAGAAAAATTTACTTCCTACCTTTATGTGCAGCATAAAACTCTTGGGAATCTGTAAACAAGCACTGTCCAACAGAAATATCTATAATGGACACGGTCTATAGCTACACTGTCCAATACAGCAGCCATTAGCTATGTACAGTAATTGATACTTGAAATGTGACCAGTGTGACTGAAGAACTAAATTTCATTTAATTTTAATTAGTTCTAATTTAAATATCCACAAGCCACTACACTATTAAGTGCAGCTCTAACATTAGTGGCATGTTAGTATAATAAACCTTCTCACAATCTAGAGTCATAGAGCTTTGTGCTGGTCTGTGCTATTTCCTGAATTCTTCATTTGCACTGACCTCTATAAGAAAGATAAATGCTGTCATTCAGTTGGCTCCAACTCGGAGTGGTCCGCTCTAGAGCTCCTGAGACTATAGCCCTTTAAGGGAGCAGACCGTCTAATCGTTCTCCAAAAGACTCCAGAGCTGCCTCCTCAAAGTACAGTCAAATTTAATGTCGAACTTAAAACACAAGAATCTAACCTAATGACACAAAACTTTCTAGACTTTCATTTTTTGCTGGCACAACTCAAAATAACAAGAAATTGATTCAAGCAACCATTAAAAATTGAACTGTGGAATGTACAAAAATGTATCTAGGGACATCATAAAGGTCAATACATAGGCAATGGTGATCTGAAATGGACTGGAATTATCCATTTTGAATCAGACAATCATATGATTTATTATACTAAGAGTGACAAATATGAGGAACAACTTCATATTCGTTGTAAAAATAAACATTTCTACACTTACCTTGAAATATAATGCTATCTGTGATAGAATGGAATCTATATGCTTATAAGGAGAACCAGTTAATACAACAATTATTCAAATGTATGCACCTAAAACTAAGCCAATGATAAACTGATAACATCTACCAACTTCATCAGTCTGATATGGATCAAACCTGACACCAAGGTGCATTTATAATTATGGGCAAAAACATTGGAAATAAGAGGAAGTAGCAACTGTTGGAAAATATGGTCTTATTGATATAAAAGAAACTGAAGATTTTATGACAGAATTTTGTACAACCAACAACTTCTTCATCATAAATACTTTTTTTAGTCACATAAATGGTGTCTATACACATGTACCTTGCCACATGGAATACACAGGGATTGTATTGACTACATGTGGGAGAACAGACAATGGAGAAGCCCAGTATCATTAGTCAAAACAAGACTAAGAGATGACTGTGAAACAGACTAACAATTGCTCATATGCAAGTTCCAGTTAAAGTTGAAAAAAATTAAAACAAGTCCAAGAGATCCAAAATACAACCTTGAAAATGTCCCACATGAGTTTAGAGACATTGAACACTAATGATTGGAGACCAAGTGAACTGTTGGATGACATCAAGAACACCATACACGAAGGAAGGAAAAGGTCATTCAGAAGAAGGGAAGAAAAAAAGCAGGTGTCAGAAAAGAATGCAAAACGTGCTCTTGAACATTGAGTAGCTAAAGTAAGTGGAAGAAATGATAAAATAAAATTGTGATGTAATATGACATGCAAAAACTTGAAGTTAGAAAATCATAAGGACAGAATATGCTCAGCATGCCTCAAGCTGAAAGAATGGAAGAAAAAGTACAAGCCTTGTGTTATAATATTGAAAGATTCTATGGGCAAAATACTGAATATGCAGAAAGCATCAAAAGGTTATATAAAAAATACAAAGATGCACAGCACCGAAAAGAATTGGTTGGCATTCAACTATTTCAAGAGGTAGCATAAGATCAAGAACTGATGATAATGAAGAAAGAGTCTAAATTACACTGGAGGCATTAACGAAAAACAAGGCATCAGGAATTGACAGGATACAGATGCCGTGCTGAAAGTACTCACTAGTCCATGCCAAGAAATTTAAAAGACATTCCAAATAAAAGTGACTCAACATAATGTGGAAATTAACCAACTATACCATTAATATCACATGCACATAAAATTTTACTGAAGATAATTTTGAAAACAGAGGCAGCAATACCACAAGGAGCTACTAGAAATTCAAGAAGGATTCAGAAGTGAAAACTGAACAAGCGATATTAATGCTGATATCAGATGGATCTTGAATGAACGCAGAGAATACCACAAAAATATTTGCTTGTGTATGATTGATTATGCAACTGTATTCAACGGTGTGAATCCTAACTATGGAAATGCCTGCAACCATAACATTGCGAAGAATGCAAATTTCAGAACACTTAATTGTGCTCATATGAAACCTGCACATAAGCCAAAAGGCTCAGTCAAACAGAACAGGGAGATACTGCCTGATTTAAAAATCAGGAAAAATGTGCTTCAGGGTTTTATCCTTTCATCATATTTATTCAATTTGTATGCTGAACAAATAATCCAAGAATCTGAACTCTATGAAAAAGAATGCAGCATGAGGACTGGAAGGAAAGTCACTAACAGCCTGCATTAAGCATACAACAAAACCTTGCTGTGGCAATTACATAATCTCTTGTTACCTTGGGTGAAGAAGTGAAGTGGAGCCTGTCAATCAGGTCATAGCCAAAGAGGCCTCTGTATGGGCATGGCCTTCTCCTAAGGATTCTGATACTACAATTGATCTTAGCCAAGAGGCCAAGAAGCAATCTCCTAAGGATTCTGGGAACTCTTGTCTTCCTCCCTGAAGGCGGGACACACACTCTCTCTGTTTCACATTCTGTTGACAAGCCACATGTTGATGGCAGCCAGAGCCCTGGAATGAGATGAGCCACCTGGAGAGCCACACCAGCACTGAGATGCTTCCACAAAACTTCCCCCACTGGCCTGTGATCTTCCTGCTTTTGGCATCATTGCATGTGTTTCGTGAGTCTGTAGAAGAATT